GACCTTGCGCTTGCCAGGCAGGCGCTTTTGCCGCTGAGCTAAATCCCCAGCCCCAGCAAATATATTTTAACAACAGTAATTTTCAACAAAGGGCTATAAAATAAAGAGTTTAAGAGGAATGAAAAGTCAAACTTTGTGCAACTTAATTTAAAAATTTGAAGCAATTTTGTACTTCATTGAGAGGTGAAAGTTGTCATCTTGTTTAAGGAAAAAAATGAAGTTACACAATATATAACTTACTAGATTTGGTCAAATGGATTCTGACCAAAAGCTTAGCCAAAGTACTTAAAAGTATAAAGGAGCTCTATCAGATAGTCTCCAAAATCCACTTGGGTAGAAAGGCATAAATATCTATGTTTTCTACAACAACAAAAAATTTAAAAGTTAACATTTTTCTCAAAAAGTAAGCTAGATCTGTAACACTTCTCATATAAAACTGAGCATACTAACAATGAAATATGAGAACTGTATGTGTGTTATAACCAAAGAGAAACATAGAGGGCTGAAGATGGGGCTCAGCGGTAGGGCACTTGCTGGCATTTGCTATGCCCTAGGTTCGATCCCCAGCACCACAAATCAGAGACAGAGGCGGAGTCAGAGACCAACAGACAGCTCAGCAGCAAGAGAAGGGAGGAAGGGAAACAGACCATTTGGCAAATATTTTTGTTATTGGAAAGTCAGAAAATCTGAAATTTTAGGAAGATTAGCTAACTTAAGGATTTAAAAAAAAAAAAAAAAAAGCCGGGTGTGGTGGCGCATGCCTGCCATCCTAGTACTCTGGAAGATGAACCAGGAAGGTCATTGTGAGTTTGAGACCAGGCTACATACTGAGTTCAAGACCAGCCTGCATTACATAGTGTGACCCTATCTCAAAAAACAAAACACACTTAAAAAAAGACACCCCTCCCAAAATAAATAAAAGACTAAGCAATTAAAAGTGTGATGCTGCTAATTTGGGAACTACTTTTATCCGCGCTGAAATAAATTTGGCACCATCATCACCCTCTGACCTGAAGAGATCTCTATGCAATATGAGGTACATTAAAACGCAGGATTATACCACTAAAAACGCTGGAGATTAAAATTACTTTCCATCTAACTGTTGATGTATTTTCAGCATAGAATTATTTGCACTGTAAAAATCTCATTCAAAAAATATTGAGGGGGCCAAGAAGGTATAGCTCAGTGGTAGAGCATGTGCTTTGCATGTGCAAGGGCCTGGGTTCGATCCCTAGCACCAAAAATAGTTAAACTATTTACCTGATCATTCATAACGATCATGGTTCGGGTGAAGAGATCATGATGAGTAATTATGCCAGTAAACCACTGGGTGGCAGAGTCTTGTCTATATACCCTCACTCTGTATCCATTTAAAGAATAAGGACCTTTAAAAAAACACAGGAAGCAGGGATATATATATGGTAAATGGAAACATTTTCACTTATGAATTACCTTATTGGAGAAACATAAAGCTATGTGACAGATGCATAAGAGACCCAAGAATCAGTAGTAAAGAAGTGTTTTTAGAGGATAAATGTTTTCTGGCACAGATCATTTAAGTTTTCATTATATACACTATTAAATACACGCACTTCCTGACCCAATGAAAATAAAATACTTTAAGTCTGAAAGAATGTTTCCAGGATTATGAGTTAGTAGGAGGACAGAACAAAATGTAAGGTTAGAGTAGTCTGTTATGTAGTAAGGTTACAAAGCTATTTAGGTTCAAGTAAGTGACTGGCTACTGGGATAAAATAGAACGGTAATACAGAACTTCATGCCTTTGTCTCCCAGTTGCTAGAACTTTATTGTAGGCAATTACATCCCTTTCTTCCATTTATGCAGTAGTAGGGAATGAACCTTCACACTGAGAGACGTTCCCAGCCCCTTTTAAATTTATTTTGAGACAGGTCTTCATAAGTTGCTAAATAGCCCAGGTTGGGTTTCCGATCGCTACGCTGCTGCCCTTTCTTTTAGGTTTACAGACTCACAACTGCCAATTAGTAGTTTTAATAGTTATTGAGAGTTAAAAATTTTTTTGCCAATATCTGCCTAAAAATATAAAATGCCTATAGAATATATTCCATTGGAACAAGCCTATAACCCCAGCCCTCAACAGGCTGAGGCAGGAAGATCATAATGAGTTCGAGGACAGCCTGGCTACAGAGTGAGTTCAAGGCCAGCCTGAACTACACAGCAAGATCCTGTCTCAAAAAACAAAACAAAACAAAACAAAACAAGTCTCATGAAGCCTGGGGTTGCAGCTCAGTGAAAACCTTTGCACAGCATGTTTAAAGCCCTTGGGGTTCGACTGCCGGTACTGCTACCAAAAACTCCATGATCTACACATTAAATACATTCACCTAGAGAACACTGAAGATATTGACTGGCTATACTTTAAGACATGTGATACATATATATATATATATATATATATATACTATTTTGTTTTGTTTTGTTTTCCGGTAGTGGGAATTGAACTCACGACCTCGTGCTTGCCAGGCAAGCGCTGTGCCGCTGAGCTAAATCCCCAGCCCCTATATATACTATTTATTAAATATAATCCATTATAAAAACTCTATTCTTTTTAAACTAAGAAAGTGTATTATTTTTTCTGATACAGAAAAAATTTACAAATGACATTAAATATGTTTTTAATTATCATCATTGAACCATCTACATTGGCTTATTCTCAAAATATAATTTGGAGTCTGCCTCACACATCTGGCTAAAACAGATAGGGACTATTAATGCCTTAATCTTTTTCCTCCTCAGGATGAGGAAACAAAAGGTTATTTAAAAAAAATTAGCTTGATTTCTTTGACAAACTGTAAGGAGAAGAGAAGAAAGAGGGGTAAAATAATAACCACCATATTGTATAGACCTTTCCTGGGTCTTTTTTGAGTTTCTGAAAATAAGGCTGGACGTGGTGACTCTATCTATAATCCCAGCATTCTGTGAGGCTGAGGCAGGACGATTAAAAGTTCAAGCCCACCCTGGTCAATTTAGTGAGACCCTGTGAAAAAGTAAAAAAATAAGAGCCAGGGATTTAACTCAGTGTAAAGACTCTAGGTTTCATCTCCAGTACGGGGGTGGGGTGAGGGGGTGGTTAAAAACAAATAAATAATTATTACAACCATTTATGATATTTGCAAGACAAATGGAAATGTGAACTTAACCGTCCAGCATTTAATGGTAAGAAATTACTAATGGGGGGGGGGCATAATAATGGTATAGCAGATTTGTTTAAAAAATAAAGTGATGTCCAAAATCTGACAGAAGAAAGTGGGGGTGTTTCGAGGGGCAGGACAGCCACAGTTTAACTGTTGGGACTGGGAGACAAATGATGCAAATTCATCAGAACAGTTTATTTCCGTGCATGTTTTAAATTTCCCATATTAATCTTTAAAGAACACATATATGCAAAATCATTTAATAAATAAATGATCTGATATCATATATAACCATATAAAGCAAAACAGCTACAACTCTGAAATTATTTCTACTAATGCTTAATGGCACGAATATTGAAGACTGAGGTAAATATAGGGATTTTAACAATAAAATATTGTTCGGCATGGGGGCGCACTCCTGTAATCCTAGCACGCAAGAGGCTGAGGCAGGAGGACTGGAATGAGTTATAGGCCAGCCTGGGCTACATTGTGGAGTTCAAAGCCAGGCTGAACTACATAGTAAAACCCTTTGTCTCAAAAAAACAAAGCAAAACAAAATCCAACCCAACCCAATAAAATAGTACATGCCATGATGTCTCACAAAAAGTGTGTACCAATAATGTATGACTTTACTGATATGCCAACAGCATTCTTCAAAGAAAACCAATGGTGCCTGTGGATAATCTCTACTCCAAACAGTACTTCCATTCTCCAGGAAGGACACACTATAGCATTCCACATTATGGAACTTCTCTGTCAATAAAATACCCATGTAGTTATAACTTCACAGGAAGCATTTAGTTGAAATTAAGTTTAAAAACTGGTAGAATTATAGACTTTCCATCAAAATTATTTCCAAGGCTTATATATAAAGTTTTAGACTGGGTTTTTTATTTGTATTGATTATAAGTGAACAATCAAAAGCAAACATGGGAGGCTGCCTAGTTCCAGATAATGATGGATAATGCATAAGTTCAAAATAGTTACCTTGCATAAAAATCTCCTGAACCTTTTGTTCCTTTACCCAGGCTTTCACTTCCTCGTGAAGCTGTGGGTTGTCCCTGAGAACTGGGTTTAGGCTGTCTATGTCGTCCTAGAATTATAGATTAAAAGAAAAGATCCACATTATGTTTCTTAACATTATGGCTACTAACTTTCCATTCTGTATGTTCTACAGACTTAAGAAAGTTCCTTGATCTAAATGTACATAAAACCACAAATTCATAAATTATAGTTCATTAGTAACTACACAATAAAGCACAAGAAATCTGAGGCAAGATTTGATCTTATCAATAATATACTATAGTCAAAATTTGAAATTTAGTACTATGTTTTCTAACTTCTTAAGTACTGTATCACCTTACTCCAAGTCAGCTTTTCAAAAATTTTACAATTTGAAGTAATACACAAACCAAACAACATTGTCATTCATAGTTGGTGGCAAAAGAGCTGAACATTTTAGTGACAATGGATTATATAAAATTGCCTGTCTACAATGCTGAAAACATTAGGATTTGCAATTACCAGTTTTTTATTCACTGTCACCTGAAATATCATCAAATTCAGTTTTACCAAGCTCATCTGACCAATAATTTAAACGTTAAAATTTTGTTTCTTCAAGCTGTTAAAACGTCCAATTAAAATTAAATTATCAATGGTACTACCCTCATAATAAGGTGGAGCTAGGCACAAAAACAACCACACAGTCACAGTTTCCCACAGCCGGCGGCATACTTTCGCATTCTGTTATCAGTATCTCAAAGCATTTTGTTATTGGCTGCAGGAGACCTGCAGTTAACTGGGAAGTACAACTGAGCAACACTGTAAGTTTAGGAGTATTTTAAGAGTGGACTAGAAAATCATGGAAACTAGTGAATAGGAAGAACTAAATCATGAGAATTATAGCTAGTACATCAAAGTACTCTAGCAACTTGAAAACACCAGAAGGTGGCCAACTCCAAAGACCATTAATCAAGCAGGTCATAGTTTAGCACTGTTTCAAAGTCAATCTAAAGATTTTTCTTGTCTAAGACACTACTGTTTTTTGGAATAATATTGTGGCAAATATTCTATCTGCTATGTCTTTTCTACCCACGAAGGCTTGTTCAAGGGTTAGTTCTTGGAATATATACAGAAATGCTATTAAAGGGTAGGCATGGTAGTGCATGCAAGGAGGATCACAGCAAGTTTGAGGCTTGCCAGTTTGAGGCCAGCCAGTTCAAGGCCAGTCTGAATTACTGACAGGCCTCAAACTTATGACAACCCACTTGCCTCAGCCTCCTGTGTGAAAGAATTCTAGGCCTGTGCTGGTATTCTACCCTTTCTATGCACTGTAGTCCCGGCATAACCAGGAAACGGCAGAGATCGGAAATCTCTCCGCACTGCATGTAGCCTACTGCATCTGTAATGCACATATGCCTATAGAGCGCATCACAAGCAGAGCGTAGGAAGACCCTGGAGGAAGCTCTCTGCAGACCTCTGAGAGTGGTTATGTGAAACTCTGCGCAACACAAACTGAGCACCTGCCATGTGGCGCCCTGGTGCCTGGGATTAGCGCGCCACTTGCGGTGCCCACAATCATGGCGGGTCAGGAGAGAGGGGCGCCATCGCAGGACACCCGGCCCCAGGGCGGCGGACAGGGGCAGCCTTGTGGGGAGAGGAGGAAAGCGAGTCCTGGGCCTGGGAAGGCTCTGGCGGTGCCCTGAGGCCCAGAGCACTAAGGGGAGAGGCCCAAGGCGGGTGGCCAGACGACTCACTGCGGTGGGGAGCCGGGGCTGGGCCGGGCCAGCCCGAGAGGTGGGCAGCGCGCCCCCTGCGGGTATAGGCCAGCGAATGTTGCAGGCTCACAGAGGTCGCCCCTGCCCTGCTGTGGCTGGTGAGGACAGATGGGCTCCGCAGGCGTCTCCACCGCCTCCACCACTTGTCCACCTCGGCAGCAGACATGAACTTGGGAATGGACCTCCGCCCCTAGTTAGTCTTATGTTGCTGTAGTTTTGTTTCTTCTCCTTCATTGTTTGATCTTGCTTTTATATGACTGTTAACACGGTTCCTAGCTTCTTTGTGGTTGTGGTTCTGTTTTGCGGTATCTTGTACTCTGAGTAACTAATTTAAAGATAACAATAGGCAATGTATTAACCACTGTTACCCTCCTATTATCTTGGTTTTTTTCCTGTTTAAAATAAAAGAGAGTAGCCAGGAGTGGTGGTGTATGCCTGTAATCCCAGCACTGGGGAGGCTGAGGCACAAGAAGCCTTCTGAATTCAAGGCCAGCCTGGGCTACAAAGTGAGTTCAAGAACAGCCTGAACTGCATAGTGAGACCCTGCCTCAAAAAGACTAAATAAATAAATAAATGAGATTAAGTTAGAAAAATGTTGGAATCTGTATTCTGACATTAAAACTATTGTATTAACCTAATTTTAAACGATTCTACTTCCTAGTTAGGTCAAACTAAAAGGCCCAATTAAATAGTATAAAAAAATCAGAGCACTAAAATATTCAGAGATATGTACAACGAGGTTTAATAATACATATTTAAGGCATACAACATTACACACATTAAGTTCATTCTGTACTTTTAAATTTTTTCCTGTGTTCAAGTATCTGGCAAACATCAAGTCTTGAAAAGTCAAGTACTGTATCACTATAAATTTCACTTAAAGTTTTTTTTAAACAAATACTGTCAAACTACAGTACTACCTACCTCCAATAAAGATAATCTCTAGTAGCTAATTGTGACTTCTTTTTTAGAAGACTATTTAAATTTCTTTAATTGCTGAATGCCTCTGTGGCTAGTTTTTAGGAAGATCATTATTTAGTCCTACAACTGACACATTTTCTACTTTCTCATTTTGTTTGCAAGCCACCTAAACATTTCCTCTGATGAACAACATTCTCTTTGATACATTACCAAAATGGACCCTATGCTGTACTCACAAAGGACAATGTTGGAAAGTATGAATTAATTGTGACATTTTGGTTTGGACAACTGACTTTGACCTCAAGGTTTTCACTAAAAATTATCAAGACAAAAAAAGGTTGGTTCTTAAAAAAAAAAAAAAAAAAAAACAGACTAAATGAAATTGAAATTTAAGTTTCATGTCTAATGGAACCAAAAGACAAATTTCATAATAAAATTAAAACATATCAGGTAAATACAATTAGTGATTAAAAATAAAGATATTTAAAAATCAATTTGTATGATTTGCAGGCAGAACTTACACCTATACATCTATTCTATACACATATTTTAGGCTTCAAATACAAGAAAAATACATGCAAGATATACGATAATCTTAATCATAGTTTTTTAAAACTAACTATATTATGGATAATCTTTTACACTGCTGTACTTTCATGTATTTTTGGAATGGTTTCATTTTTCAATGACCATGTGCTACTTTTATGAGTCTGACTTATGAGTAATGAGTTTTAAAATGCAAAACACTGATGTCTGTCAACTATTTGTTCATATTGCTTATTTCCTTTGTTACACACTTCAATGAGAAGAAACTTCAATACAAGCTGATAAATATAGCCAGGCATGGTGGCACACTCCTGTAATCCCAGTGATCTGGAGACTGAGTGCAAATTTGAGGCCAGCCTGGGCCACACAGTGAGTTCAAGCCCAGCCCAAATTACAAAATGAGACCTTGTCTCAAAAACAGTAACAACAAAAAACACCACACAATCTGATACATACAATGAACATATTCCATAGAAAAAAGATAGTTTTGAAATTTTGTTGACACTGATACACCTGAAAACATCATTTGCATTACCTTAACATGTGCATTGTGACACAAACTCACCAAAAATAAAGTGCTTGTCTAGCATGTGCAAGGCCCTGGGTTTGATTGGCATCACCACCCTGACCTCTCAAAAAGCCCCAAAGAAAACTAAACAAAGTTCAAAACCATAAAATCAAAAGTTAGCTGAACATAGTGGTGCATGCCTGTAATCCTAGCACTTGGAAGGCTGAGGCAGGAGGATCACCACAAGTTTCAGACCAGCCTGGGCTACATTTTGAGTTCAAGGCCAATCTGAACTACACTGAGACCGTACTTCCCACCTCCCAAAAAAGTTATGTAATATACTTTTATAAATATGACATCAACATTGATTATGCCAAGTTTTATTCATAATTTTTTCAATTCTGCAATAATTTTTATAGTCACAAAATTCAAAATTAACTGAGGCAGAAAAAACACTTTCATATACATTTGATGCTTTTTTTCTTGTTGTTGCTGTTCTGGTGCCTCACACATGCTGAGCACATACTCTACCAAAAAGTCATACGCCCACCCTTGACAATGAGCTTTCTAGGAAAGAATAAAAAGAAGATATGCACAACATTTAAAGTAACTGACTTTCAACGCAGAAAACACTAGACCAAATAAGTAATATTTTACAATTACTTTAAAAACTTCTGGTGCTATTTCAGCTATTATTCCACAGGAATAAACGCCCTATTTTCCTAAGAATTTTGCCAGTATTACAACTTAAAGAAAACCAACATCAACACAAATACACTCATCTCAGTCTATTTCAAATTATTCACAAAAAGAATACTTACACTTGAAGTACTCTGGGCACAATACCTTTTATTCTTAGAAAACTCATCTGTATTTTGCTATCCTTGAGAAAAGGACCTCTGACTTTGTCAGAGATTTGTAATTTAACCCAAGACAAATACAATGGAAGTCTTATCTGCCACCCCTCAAAATATGGCAAATCTAAAAGGAATGTTGTTGTCAATCATCCTAGATGACTAATATCCTCAGATTTTGAAATAACTTGAAAACTAACCTCTGCTTGGCATGGCAGTGCACACCTCTAATCCCAGCACTCAGAGGTGGAGGGACATGGAGACTAAGTTCAAGGCCAGCCTTGACTACACAGTAAGGCCCTGTCCCAAATAAATGAGGCTGAGTATGGTGGTGCATGTCTGTAATACCAGCACTCAGGAAGCGGAGGCAGGAAGATCACTCTGAGTTTGAGGCCAGCCTGGGCTACAAAGTGAATTCAAGTGCAGTCTGCATAGTGAAACTCTGTCTCAAAGAGAGACAAACAAACAAGCCCCCCCCCAACCCAAA